GTAAAAGGGGACATGACAGAATGGGGACCAAAATATGTCAAATCTCAGAAGGAAAATTGCAGCTGTACCCTTGGGTGATGGACTTTCTTCAGCCTATATACTGGCATATAAAAGTATAAAATTGTAACCTACGTGAGTCTTGTGTGCTTTTGGATGAAAGCTTTGGATTTCTAAAATTATTGAGTCATTTTCCTGTATGTTGAAAAAAAGAATTCTTACTTATGATGTTGGTTCTCCATAAAGTCCTTGTCCTTCTGCACTCGCGGTTGCACTCCTGACCTGTGGAGAAGGACCCATGGATGCAATAGGGGCTGCACAGTCCCTACTGTTTCCTGGCGAACTTCTACAGGCAATTTACAGGACATATGAATGCCTCATGACCATCAAAGATCTTTTATCTCTATAAATATGCCCCAACCCCCACCACACAATCACTAAAAAAATGTATAGCTGAATTTCCAGCTTTGGATTTTGTCTTCATTCACGTTGCTCTGTCACTGGTGTTTCCAGCAGGCATGGACTGGCCGTCAGGAAGTTCAGCAATCGGGAAAGTCTCGAGAGGGCCAGTCTTTCTTCTGCAAGCCTGGCATTTTATAACCTGTATACCAGGGGCTCCCTATCCGTCAGTCCATCTCGGTGTGTTTCCAGGTCGATGGTCCATCACAAGAGGTGATTAATGGTTGATCGCAGTTGGGAAAATTTACCAAGGGGAACCCCCCCTCCTCCCCAACTGGATGGCAAATTCCTGGCCTGGTTTTGTTGCCAGTCCATCCCTGGTTTCTGATGTCCTCTTTTGTGGGGTAAAAAAGCAGAATAAACAAACTAGCCTCTTTAAGATCAAAGGAATCAACATGCACGATCCCAACTGATTCACACGTTTTTCACTGTAATTATAACACCCATCTGCTTTTTGCCCCTTACGCCCAACACTGATTGGAAAGGAGACCCTGTTCTGCGTCCTCTGACTGAGGGCCACGCCGACCTGAGACCAAGTGTGCATTGAAGAGTTCTGTTCTGCTCAATCCTCATGATGACATGGAATGAATATCAGAGGAATGAAAACAGACAAAGCACCAGGCATTGGCACGGTAAGTCAGCTCAAAAGAAAAAGTCTCAGATGACAACTATGCTTTATTTTTTATATTCACATATTTTCCTTGAGATCTACCACCCCATAATGTGGATCTCACAGTTTAATATTCACCTGCTAGTGTAACATGCTGCCCAGTGTGGGCTAAAAAAAATCTGTTGTGTAATAAACTCTGCACTATAACTTTTGTTTGCTGAGTCTTTTATTTATATAATGCAGAGGTTTTTCCATATTGCCAGGCTTCTAAACCAGCGGAATTTGAAATTTCCACGGAGGGATCATTCTTTTCATTTTTTCTCTTGGCTTTATTAGTCTATCTGATGACAGGAGACACTTTTATTATCCTGGAGAAAATTGTTTAAAATATGAAGACTGTGAATGACATAGCTCTTTGCAGACATGACTTCAGTCTCTCGGGAAAGAGACTCAATCACATGACTGCTAAGGATGGGGGGTGGAACGGCGGCCTGTCAGCACAGTCCATTCTGCTCGTCTTGAACTTCGACGGCATTCTGTTGCATTGCTGCTGTTGTGGTATGATGCACTTAATAAATCAGCTTTATCCACTTGAAGCCTGGTCTTAATTCACAAGTTAGTTTTGGTGAACGTCAGTCAAGTTCAAATTTACGTTCAGCTGCTCTATCAGTTTATATCACAAACAGGGAGACCGTGAAGTTGCTACTATTCAGCTCTGGCTGCATGACCAGCTGTGATGGTGCGTTTGACTTTATGAGGCTCTGAGAGATATATCATTTATGTTATTATTCTATATAACACATATTTTAAAACTGTATCCAGTGCACTTCAAGTCCAGAAACTACAGCTCAACTGGTTGGTAGAAACAAAATCTTGGTCTGTAGTTGTAGCTTCTGGAACTGAAATGTCTATTACTGTCTGTATCTACGACGGACTAACAACAGTCCAGGGTACCCCAGCATTGTGTTCTTGATTCCTGAGTTAGGCTCTGGGCCCAGTGCAACCCAGTACAAGACTTCATGGACGATGGATGGATGGATGGATGGATGGATGGATAATTTCAATCCTTTTTTTCCATTTATCCCTCCATGAAGGGATATTTTCATTTTTTTTTATATACTTAATCACACCTTAGAATAACCAGCGTTGCCCAAACATACATCATATGTGGCATGAGAACACAAACATGGAGCACATTAAACATCAGAAGAGCCGCAGGACTTTCTTCGAGGTGTCTGGTCACATCAGGTGACAGTCATGACTCCAGCACCTTCTTCACCGGCATCCATCCGCAGCCGGCTGCTGAAATCACACTTTCTCACTGACACCTTAATTATAAAACTACCAGCCATCACTTCTGGCGGCCGTCCTGCTCTGCTCACTCCTACCAGGATTCGCGGCTATTTGCGGCCGTCTTCAGCCATTGGCTGTCTTTATTTGTGTTACAGTCATGCTGCTTTGTACCCAAAAGATTTTATTATAGATTTTTACTTATTCTTGGCCAGAGTCTGTCAAGATCAAAATAGCAACTGAGAGACTTGTAAATTATCTATAAAAGTGGGGTGCAAAAAAATCACATTACAGTTTGATATACAGACGACGGGCCAGTAGTGCTATGGAATCTATTTTGCTTCCAGTCAGAATCATCATCTGGGCCAAAAAAAAACATTTGATTGGTTTGCATCGCTTCCCCAAATTATTTAAATGCCAATGACTCATCTAATCTTTTCTGCATTTAGCAAATCTCCATGGCGCAGCGAACGATAGATAGAGGAGACAAGTTGTGTTTACGATGCCATTTCTTGCCTTTCGTCTTCAAAGGTTTATCCTATCAAAGATGCGGTTCCAATTTTGTCCCCTATCTATCTCATTACTGCTGTGTTTGTCTAATCCCTTTCGATGCACCACGAAGCCAGACGGGGTATCACCCGGCTCGCTGAAAACAAGGCTCACGTCCGGCCGGACAGCGATCCTGCCGCTCAGAGTCGGGAAAGACCGTGGATTTCGTCTTCAAGCTGTCGGTCATTTGATGAGACATTATAATTCCCACCGATCCTTGTACTGTCATACATTGTTGCTGTTTATCTTCATGGTTAATCTCCCAAATTATAAAAAGACATAGATATACATGGCAAAAACATAGAACTTATTCATTTGGTTAATTTGAAGTAGATGGCAATGAAAAATGGAGAAAATCACACCTGGCTTGCAGTCTCAAACACGATGAGCATGTGCTTTTTTGCCGTCATTTTTATAAATAGTGAGAGTGACAGATTCCAGTAGATCTCGTCCTACAGAGCAGCAAACAAACGTGATATTGTTATGATCTATTCACTCCATTATGACTGTAAACACATGCCAAGTAATTAGTTTGATAACCAGAGGTGCAAAAATTCCATTTATTACTTTATTATTTATTCAACATTTTTGAAAGATAGACTGAGAAAGACAAACGTAACACATTTCAAATCCGAGCTACGTCTCTTATTGCCCTGGAACGGGGGCCCTCTCCTCCTTCCGCTTACAGCAATCTCATGGGCAGGATATCTGAAAAGGGGCTTGGTGTAGCAGGGAGGGGGGGAAATGGGGAGATCCGCAAATGGCACATGCAGACGCGAAACTCTCTGACACACTTAGTATGACGCACTTACAGACACACAGCCGCGTCTCCAGAATGGTCATCCAGATGCAGAAGACCTCGATTTCATGTGGATTTGGCCATTCTGGTAAAACAGTTCAAACTGTCCTTTCACCATGGCAGAAAAGACGTGAACTTTGACCTCTAGGCAAAAGTGGTACACAGGAGACATTATTTTACATCGTTCAAGAAATATTATCACATTTTCTGAGCTTCAGGGGAACCATCGGACATGAGTGCTGGTCACCAAACACCAGTTTATCTGGCACAGATTTGCAAGAATGGCCATTTCAAGGGGCACTATGTGAAATCTGGAACTCTAAAATATCTGTTGTTTCTATGTTGTTTGGGAGTTCACAGGTCAAAAGGAAAGCGACAGAACGGGAGGTTCAGAACGAATTGACAAGTATTCTCAAGAGGGTCTAGCTGCAGACGCCAGTAGAGTGGAGCTCCACCGGAAATACGTCACCTCCACAGGAAACATGTGATCTTTAAGGACGTAAAGTGGAGCTCTGGTTAGGGTTAGGGTTAAGGTTAGGGTTTATTCACTGTGACACAGAGTTGAGGCCACGTGTTTCCTGTGGAGGTGACGTATTTCCGTTGGAGCTCCACTCTACAGGCGTCTGCAGCTGGACCCTTCTCAGTATTCTTGGTTTTAATTATGCTGCTATCCAAGTAAGGTGGATGACACTACGTTTCTCCAGGCAAGTCTTTCCAACACTGATAACAACATTCAGGCACAAGTCTGCTACTATTGCTCGCTGACATCACACTGAAGGTAAACATCATTGACAACATGCAACCACCAGGTGGCACTGTGCCCAATACGAATAAAAAAACACCTGCTTCGCACAAAATGACGGTTTCGTATTTATTAATAATGAGCTGTTATCCCGTATATCCCCCCTACCCCCGAGCATGCCAGTGCCCACATAAATATAATTTTTTTTTTAACTCACATGGGACCAAGGAAGTTACATACAGCAATACTTGCAATGGTGTTTTTTTTCTTTTGTGCACAGACTTATTTTACATTTGACAAAAGAGAAATACCAAAGTGCTTAAGGAGGAGTATACAACGTTGAGAATGAGGGGCGGGGGGAGACAGAAAGGGAGGGAGAGAATGCTGTAAAGTCATTCAAAAGGAGAATTAAACACGGAGGTCCTTCGTGTCAGTGAAAAGACAACAGAGCCGGGTTTGTTCCTTACAGAGAATAAAGCCTCTGGGTGCAAAGTCTTTCCGACGCCGCCGCTCTGGGTCCCCCCCCACCCCCGCCCCCCCACCATCACCCTCAACATGGGGAGTCCAACTTGTTTCATCTTTTTTCTCATTTGATTCAGAGGCAGAGGAAGGTGGAGAGGAGCGGCGGCTCAGTCGGCGTAGAGGATGAAACCGGAGAAGGTGCTGTACTTGTTGTTGTTGCCTCCGTGGGCCTTGCCCCCGTCCAGCTTAATGTAGACCTCGTCCCCCGCGTCCAGGTGCAGGATGACGCTGTTGCTGGCATAGTCGTAGTTCTGGTCGGCGTCCTGTGCGATGGCGCTGGCCCGTACCTGGGGCAGGAGGGTCGGGGAGGAGGAGGAGAATGAGAAAGTTCGGTATCTGCTTTGGCATTTAATTGCTGCCACTATTTGCTTTGATCCAGTATTCAGGGTGGAACGTTCAGGTCCGGAAAGTACAAATCCAGACCAAGGTTTTATTTCAGCCAATCAGTTGAGTATAAAGAGTCACAGTCAGAGAGTACTCAACTGCTTGGTTGAAACAAAACCTTGGTCTGGATTTGTATTTCCTAGGCCTGAACTTTCCAGCTCTGCCAATATTGGCCAATCAAACAGAAAAATTCATCCTTGTTCTCCCTCTACAAAGATCCCCGATTTAAAAAGCTCTTGGACGCCAATCCCTTTAGTTTTTTGGCGGATTTTTCAGCGGATTTCCTACCACAAGAAGAGAGGCCCTCTTTCTCTGCGAAAACAGACACAGCCTTTGTGCCGGAGAGGTGGCCAAACTGTTAGATTGAAGCCCTGATCAAGCAAAGCTTCTGTCCTAGTCTGCTGCCACCATCCAAGACCCTACATGCAAAAAACTGCAGGGAGAAACATAGTTTCACCCAGCAGATGGGATCATGTGATGAAGATACTGGATCGATAATATCAAAAATAAATTGGTAAATCTTTACTGTCTTATACTTTTCATCAAATTTTACTGAAAAAAATCACAGCTGGCACTAGGGAACATATAGGTTAAAGACAGAGACCTCAGAGATTCTATAAGATTCCATGCTGTAGCACCAGAGAAAAATGCAGTGATGGTGTACAGTTACACAAATGGTTTTATCGGTAAGGTGTTTTGCAAAGGTGTTAGGTAAACACTTACAAATGTACATTTTTCATCATAGAACTGAAATCTAACACATGCATAATTTTTTGGAGCAAGCAGTAAAGCAGCACTCCATCGTCGAACATGAGAATCCATGGCTGACCAGCAAAACCATCCGTTTCTACACTGGATAAAACAAAATCATTCAGCTGGAAACATCTTTATTCTAAGGCTACTTAAATAAAAATTGGCAACATTTATGTCAATGGTCAATATTTATTTATAAATGAGTGAAATATTAGATATCACTCACACTGCCGTCTGGCTTATGGTTTACTAGGAACTGCCTAAAATTCAAATTATTTTTTTCAATCCTCATCTACTTCAACCTCCCAAGAGGTCAGTGTGCTATGACGCGTTGTGCTGTATACTACAGTGCAGTGTTTCCCAATCTGGTTCCTAGTAGGGAGCTGGGAGGGAGCAAAAATGTGGACTGTCTAGCAGGGAGCTGGGTGGGAGCAAAAATGTGGACTGTCTGGCAGGGAGCGGGCAAAAATGTGGACTGTCTGGCAGGGAGCTGGGAGGGAGCAAAAATGTGGACTGTCTGGCAGGGAGCTGGGAGGGAGCAAAAATGTGGACTGTGGCAGGGAGCTGGGTGGGACCATCTGTGGGACTGGATTAGTAAACAGTGTATAGTGTATTTTCAACCTGCATGAGAGCATTTCCGTAGTCCATGAGCATGCAGTTATTAGCTATGATACAGCTCCTATCCTGCTCCACCTACTGTATACTGGCTTCTCCATACCGTTCATGACCTTCAAAATCGACACCATATGCAAAGATATCTTGCTAATGATAAAACAAAGTGCATCATGTGTCACTAGAGAATTTGGTAGTTGCTTTAGCCCCCAGTGGTCAAGTTAATAAGACAATGAAATCTTGTTCATGCCAAGACCTGCGATGTGAAGTAACTTCCTGTGTTTGTCAACCTGCAACAAGTCTTTGCTGTATGGCCAACCTAACAGCCTAAATCGTTAAACAGTGAGATTCCTGATCATATTCACATCACTGCATTAAAAATAATCAATTACCTTCTCAACACCCTCATTATTATAACAGCTACAATGGTTTGGTGTCCTTTCTAGTACGCGGTGGTGATCTTTAGTGTAATACGACAGTTCTGGGATCAGGCATATGCTGGATTACTCCATGTATTTGATCTGAGGTGTGAAAATGTGACAATTTCGTCAACCTGTTAAGCTGCCAGATCACTGCTGTGTGTTAAATATGTAGGCTTTTGGATTTTATTTTCAGCACTCGTGTGGAAAAAATTGGAGAAATCTTGCACTACTGCTGAGCTCAGACATGTATTTTAAATTACACCAAAAAAAAACCAAAACAAACTTTTAGAATGTGGAAGTTCAAACAAACCTTCCCTGCACGTCCATCAAAAAAACAAACAAAAAAAAAACATTTACATACAGTCCACCTATTTCCCCACTCTAAAAGCACTAAAGTTATGCTTCACTTGGTACAGCTGAGCTTCACTACTGGGGCCCACGCACAGGAATGACTAATTTGATATTATTTTTTCCTGCGTCTCTCGCCCCTTCGCGACTCTCTGCCCTCCCCCCTCCCTCAGTCAAACAGCCTCAAGCAGCTACGGCCGGCGTCTCTGCACTCATCAGCGCCTTCCTAAGCTGCCTAATTAAGAGTTGCGTCTGGGCTGCCTCTCTAGCGAGCCGTGGAGGGTGGGTTGGGTGTAGGGGTGGGGGAGGCAGACTGAGCTACCGCCTCGGAATACTGGCGAGAAACCAGCAGCGTGCACGTGCCTCCTGCCCCCACCCCCCGCCGCTCAAGATACAACATATTAAAACTGAATCCTTTGAGTGGCTCGACACTGGTATGCAATATTGAAAACAAACCTTAGACGGAATTAGGGTGGGAAGCACTTGAGGCTACAGGGACCTTCACTGGAGTGGGAGGAGTGAACACTGGTGCAGCCGAGACCGAAATCACACCTGCCTTTCTGGAACTGTGAATAAATCTCTTTTTTACTGTCTAAAACAATTACACAAATCACTTTTTCCCAAAGCCTTTTTTCCATTCGCCACCTTTTCATGTATGTAGTTTCCCTCAAACGAACACCAATAAGCAAAATATTTCACCCATCAATGCTACATAAACATTGGCCAACCCCTTATAGCTTACATGTAAAATACATTTAAAATGTAGGTGAAAAATAAAGTATACAAATACAAAATAATTACAGGATGTTAATCTGCTAAAAGATGCATCCAACCATCTACAGCGACTGCTTATCCAGTTCGGGGTTTTGCAGGAGGCGAGAGCCTAATTCAGGAAGCGTAGAGCAGAAGGCAGGGAACAGCCGTGTTGGGGAAGTATTGAAGATATGTTCTACCAAGTGTCTGGACATCAAAGAAAATCAAAAATGGTGGATAAGACACTTAGACTTTATTCATCCCCTGTGGAAGGTGGGGGGGCGGGCGTCTTTGTTCCAACAACTGGTCTGCAGATATAAAGGTATAAATAGTATAAACATATAAAATGTTTAAAATATGTACTAAATAGAGTACTTTAAAGTAGGTATATACAATTGCTTACAATATTGTGCAATGCTATTTGTAATAGAAAAAGCCAGGGCCGTATGATACAATACACATGTTATGCTGTGGATCCATTCTAGACAGTGGGCATTATGAATATTATGTAGATCAAGTACATTGTGTGTATTTACTTAGCAGGAGTGTATATGTACAGTAGATGTAGAAGGGAGGCACTGCTGAGAATCTCAGATGCAGGTATTTGCAGGGGGAATCTGGGTATCTGACGCTTCATTATGAAAACAGAACTGATGCTCTTTGTACAATCGGAAGAGCTTTGGTGGCTGTTAATTGCTGACCACCTGGCAGCAGATGCGAGTGGCGGAAGCGCCGGGAGAGCACACGTGTGGACCCCACCCTCGGAGTTTTAGAGCCTGCCCAGGCAGGTGGTGTGGATACACTGTGCAATTAATTGCCCAATTAACCATGACATGCACAGTTGACTTATTGACACATATGAGGTCCAGAAGCTTGTGGGACATTTGTATAAACAATTTCCTGGTGATTAGCTCCTTGTTATGATTTATTCCTGGTTCTGTTTCACAGACGAGCAGATGAGCCCTTATAGGTCCCAAGACTGAAGGGATTTGTTGGTGTGAGCATGACATTATGGAAGCAGTATCTACACAGCGCTGGCAAGCGGGTTAAGTAAATGACAGCTAAGGTAGACGACATTGAGTTTGTGTTCATAAGAGAAGCCGATAGCATTAAATAGTAGGAAATTACGTTGAAATTACAGCACATGTTAATATTGCTGTAACAGCACATGTTACAGCACATGTCAGTACTTCATTTCATGAATGTAAAACATCTGTAAAACATTCATGGTGATCCTTATGCTTGTGCTTGTATCCTGTAAGTGACTCTGTGGACTTCCACCCGCGTGCCTGACAATGAGAAAGCAGACTAAGGACTGACGCAGAGCACCTGACCTTGGAGATCCATGTGTTTATTCACCTTCTCAGCACAGAAAAACCTCAAGTAATTCCCTAATAGTTTGCCCGAAAGCCGGACGGTTGATGCGGTTTTCAAGCTCCTGCCCACACACAACACTTTGAGAACCTATACAAACCTCCTAGTGGGTTAATTCATTATATTATATTATTTATTTTGCTGCAGCTGCACAAGAGGCCAGGAAGAGGGGACTCTTTAGCAGACGAAGGACTGACAGAGTAATGACAAGAAAAGCAGCAGGTGCGTCCCTGATCATTGGCCCTGATCCATATTGTGGCGTACTTGGGTCATGTGACCTCAGGGGCGTCCCTGATCATTGGCCCTGATCTGTATTGTGGCGTACTTGGGTCATGTGACCTCAGGGGCGTCCCTGATCATTGGCCCTGATCTGTATTGTGGCGTACTTGGGTCATGTGTCCTCAGGGGCAGGAGCTGATCATTGGCCCTGATCTGTATCGTGGCGTACTTGGGTCATGTGACCTCAGGGGCGTCCCTGATCATTGGCTCTGATCTGTATTGTGGCGTACTTGAGTCATGTGTCCTCAGGGGCGTCCCTGATCATTGGCCCTGATCTGTATCGTGGCGTACTTGGGTCATGTGACCTCAGGGGCAGGAGCTGATCCATAGGCCGAGGTTGACAGAGGAGAGGGAAGCATGGA